AATTTTTATGTTAAACAATTTTAATAAATCATTGATTAAGAATGTCATTGTTCAAGCTATTTGGAAATATATTATAAACATTATTCTTTAATAATAAATTAATAAATTAAATATAATACTTTATTTACATGTTAAAAATCATTCACAAAACATCACTATTAATGTTATTAATTGTTGTTTATTGTTAAAATATTATAATTATTGTTTTTTATTGTAATTATTTTATTAAAATCACAATTAAATAATTATTGTAATTCAATTAAAACCAAACCAGAGATATTTTATAATAAAGACCCTTGAAATACATGCACGAATCAAAGTGGCATTTTAATAATAATAATAATATTCAATTTATTTGTTAAATATCAACTTTATTTTTGAAAACCAATAATTGTATTTTTTGACAATAAAAGAAAAAATATTTCATCAATTACTTATGAAAATAGTTGATTGAAATAAACGTAATTTATTTGGACAAATTTAAACAATACAAAAACTGTTGTGTTAACTTTTTTTGTAAATAATAACCAATTTTGTATAAAAATTGCCAATTCTTACAATATTTTATTGTTTAGAATAATAATCTTTGATTGAGACTTTTGTTGTTAAAAATGTGGTGCAAACTGGTGGTCTTGGAGAGAGTTATTTCAAACATACAATAGTCAAGCACTTACCATTATAAATTTATATTTGTATAAGGTCTTTGGGTAATGTGGCTCACTGTTTGGCTGTATGTACATTAGGACAATCACCAACAACAGTTCGAAGAATCATCATTATTTTTTATCACGCCATTTATTTGAATCGATATTTATTCGTGTTGAATTACAATATACCACAAAGAACTTAACAAAATTTCAAAGATAATGAAAAGTAATCATCAATACATATCAATACATATAACTATATTTGGTTTGTTTATTTTTTGTCTATTATTATCTATTATCAAAAATGTCGGATATTAAAGTTTTAAAAAAACTTAAAACAAAAAACAGTAATTTGTGACCAACTGTCATACATATAACATAAACATTAAACACTTAAACTGTATCATTACTTAATGGTCTTAATATACTTCAATATTTTAAAAACACTTAATGTTATTAAACATGTTTCTAAAAAACAAAACAATCATTATAACATAACCTGTCAATCTTATGTGATTCATTAATTTGTGTAGTAAGAGATATTGAAATTGATAAAGATATAATACATGTAAAAACTTGAAGACTTTTCTATTTTTAAAAGAAGCAGATTGACAAGATGGTTGCCGACTCGGAGAAAATCAAAGCATGAAATGACAAACAGATTAAGGAGATCAAGGTAAAGAATCCACTTTAATACTTCTGGTTGTAAGTTGATTAGAACCAAACCGCACCAAAAGTCTACATGTTTTTTTTACAAATACACAATAAGTTGTTTTTATTATAAACAATTGGAAATTTTAAAAACATTTTTGTTTACACTTGTCTTAATTGGTTTTAAATAACTAAAAATATATATATTTGGCATATTAATTGTGTATTATGTTATGAATTTCATTGTTATTTTTATTTTTCAGCCATAATAATTAATAAAAAATACACACCTTTTGAAACCCATTTTTATAACTTCATATACCAATATAAATTTAACTGTATGGTGAATGTTAAAAACATTTATGTCAATGTAATCACAATAACTTGCCTATAATAATGATTTTTCAAAACTATTAATGTAATTATATTAAAAATAACTAATAAGTTTGAACAACTAAAATTAATTTGTAAGAATCATTTAAATTAAAAAAAATCTTCGAGAATTTCATTTTCACTACTATCGTCTACTTCTTCTTTTTTACTCACAGTTTTGACTTCAACGTTTTTTACTTTTATATAACACGTTTTAAAATTTTGAATGATGTTTCCTTTTAAAACATCAATTGAACAATGTTTCAAATACAATTCTTGAACATTGTCAAACTCCACTGTGTACCACCATCCTCCTTTCAAATTTACTGTTTCACAACTCCCAAAATTTGCATTGTATTTTGTATTCGTGTTATTGGAATGGTTATATTCATTGGATATTTTGACTTCAATTCGTTTCATTTCTTCAGACTTTATTTTTGACAAATTAAAACTCGTTAATGCATTTCCAATAACAATTTCTTTGTTATTCATTGAAAATTCCCAACATGAAATTTCTTCTATTTTTTTCGGTGTTTCTTAATAAAACAATTTTAAACGCCTTAAATTTTGTGTTCGTATTTGACTGAGTCAATTCATAAAAATATTCTTCTCCAATTTTACAAAAGTAGGTGTTGTTATATTTAATACTATCATGTATAACAATTACAGATGAATTTTCACATTTAAGATATTTCAAGTTTTCATCATCAATTTCAATTGGATTTCCTTCATATTTATATACATCGAGGTGTTCTAATTTACACTCACCAACAATCACATTTCCTGACACATATTTAATTTTTAAAGTCTTTGTTGTCAGTGGCAGAATAACTTCATTGAACCCAACATTTTTCAATACTATTTTTAGTACGAAAGAACAACTCAGATATTTAGATAAGTTGAGATCGTTAAAAATATCATCAGGGTCATATGTATTTAAAGCTGTTAAACATATTTCACGTGGAAAAACCAAACCGAATGTTTTGTTGATATTCTCTACATCAAAAAATAGCTTGCTGTTTTGAAAACAGTATTTTTAGTCGTGTTTGAAACCAAAGAGATATATTGCAAGTATTTTGAAATATAAGAATGATAGAACGTTATAAACAGTTTAAAGTTATTGTATTTTTGAAGTTCTTTTTCAGGATCATAATAGTCGTCTTCTTTAAATTTAATAAAGAAATTGTATTAGGTATTTACCATTGTCGAATAATCAAATTTTGTAAAATAAACTGAATTGCAGAATGTTGTTGTGGTATTAACTTTTTTAAGTGAAGGAAGTGAAAGTACGTTTGTTACACAGAATTGTTTTTTAAAAATTGAGCAAAAAACTTAATGGAGTGTTTTCAATTGTGCAAAGAAAAAACAATTCGCATCAAAAAGTGAAATTTCATCATCAAAAAGTTGTAAATTTATAACATGTTGCGAAAAACATTGTGTTGCAAATAGTTGTTTTGATAATTCCAAATTAATTTCTTTTGATTTGGTTTTTGTAGTTCTTTGCATTATAAAAAAGATTTCTTTTTCTGTTTGAAGTTCCGATAAATTATTAGAAATATATGGCAAATACAAAGTTTCAATTTTGGGAAAGACTTTTACAATTTTTGAAATTGGAGTTGTTAATTGTAATTTGAAAGGATTAATGTAAAGACTGTTAATAATGTCTTGAGCAGATGTATTGATTAAAATAAAATTAGTAATATCAGATAAAGTTTCAAGATACAACACAACATTTCTGAGGTAGAACTGTTCTAGTTTTGCCATGACTATTTTTGTAAAAATTTAGTTTCAGTTTTTTATTTAAAAAAATTAAAAATTGTTTTTAATGATTTTTATTTATCAAAATAATAAAAATTATCAAAATTCATTATAAATTTTGATAAAATAATATAATAAAACCCAAGTTGTAATTATTTAAAAAATAATATTAAAACAAAATAATTATTCCAAAATTAAGTAAAAACTTAAAAAAAATAAAAGTTTTTTTCACATACAATAATTGTTTTGTAACGGCTCTGTGGCTAATTTAAACATACTTTTTATCACTTCAAATTACAATTGTTTAACACTTTAGTTGTTTACTCGGTTGTTTAACCCTTCCAATACCAGAAATATGCTTGTTATAACACGCATACAGATCAATATAAATTTAAATTTGTAAACTAAAAGTTATTCTAAATTATACAGTATTTAGTTTTAATATTTTAGTTTTCAGTTCACGTGTGATGTATCATTTATAATATATAAAAAGTTTGCACGTTTTATTTTTGTATATTATATAAATTAAAAGTCTAACACAGTTGTGTCATACATATTAGTTATAAAATATATTTTATAATAATTTAAAGTAATGTATATAAAGGTTCTTTCTTTAAAATGTAAAAAAGGTAGTAATGTTATTCATATACATTTGGTTTATTTTGTGTAATGAAAACTATTTTTTTAAAACAATAGTTAACAGAAAAAATTGTAAATATATCTCGTATACATATGATTCTCAACAAAAGTTCATAAAGTGAGAACGCTAATAATCAGTGTGGTTGCACAACTAATATCATAATATTTAATTGTTTGTTACATATATTAAAATTCAATAAAATGTCAACTTTTTTACACGTTAGTTACAAAACATCAAAACATTTACAATATAAACCAAATTAAAATAATTACTTTTGGAATTTTCAAAGTATGACATATCCCTTGTTTTTCAATAAAAGATTTTTTATCAGAATTTCATTTGATACGTTTTCTTATTTTAAAACCCTGTTTTTAGAAAGACTTATAATGTATAGTTTATTATACTACACACAAATTATTGATATAAAAAGAATAAATTTTAAAACTTGAAAATAATAACAGGAAAAGTCGTCAAGTTTTCCTCACAGAAAAAGTGAACCTTTTTTCAACAAAAATACGATTTTAGGTCAAAATTTACTATTAATTTGTAGTAAATTAAATTATTTTTTACTAATAATTTTGTTTCCTGGTATTTCCCATGGTTGTTAAAAGTTTAAAGCGTTTTTTGCATTATTTCTTTCTAATATACATTCAAAATGAATAAGATATAAATAAGTTTACATTTTTTGGAAATTCCTGGTACCGGAAGGGTTAAAATACATTGATACACTAGGTTGGTATAACATTATAACTCCAAGTATTATACAAAAAAACTTTATATGAAAAACTGATGATTCGAAGAAACTAAATAAATAAAAATTAATTTGTATTTAGAGACAAATTTTTGATATTAAAATTCGGGATTAAATCTATTGTTTAATTCGTTAAATCTATTGAGAGTTTGGAAGTCCATCACACATTTGTTTTGTAAATCGAAAAAAGAACAATAAAAA